CTATAGGGCACGTATGCTCACCATAAAGAGAGAAAGTAAATGAGCAAACCTTCAGAGCAGAGACACACACAGAGCAGAGGCCCACACTCGGCCATGTGGGAGTCCAGCGCCTTAACTACCATGCAACCTGCTGGCTCCTCTTCAATCTCTTCACAAACTCTCCACTTCACCATTCCTTCTCTGAGTTAGCGTGTGTAATTCTTCTTGAGCGTGCGACAAAGAATCAGGTTTGCTTATTATTCCTGCCTTGGGTGTTGGGCCCACGCACCCCAACTTCCTGCATTATAATTTTCCTGCATCAATAACAAAGCGTATTAATTATGGTATGAACTTACTCCTCTGACATTGTAATAGGACTTAATTTTACTCCAAGTTAAAATCCTTCTATTATTTACTAGCTGCTTACTTATTTGGATCCCATACTTGAAGCCACACTAATTGAGTTTGTAGCCCCATCTTTTGGTCTATTAATATAGGTAAATCTCTCTCTTGTAGTTCCACTCTTTTGAGTAAGTTGATTATAACGCATAAAACAGGAAGCTGTCACTGTGTAAGTGAATTCAAAGATTATGCTAGGCTTTTCTTTTTTTTTTTTTTTTTGAGAGGTTTTTCGCTATAGGGCGCGTGCGCTCGCCAGACAGACAGACAGAGACATAGAGACAGAAAGCGAGAAATCACCCCCCAGGGGGGATGGCCACGCCACAATCCCTTCTCCTCCATTCTCCTCTCCGGATCTTGGGCAAGCACGCACACGTGCCCAGCATGAGTTCTAAGCCACCGGGTCCGGGACGCGACCCATGGTCCACTACGTGGGAGGCCAGCGACATAGCCATTACGCTCGCTAACTGCTGGTTCCCAGCTCGGCTTTTTTGATTTGCAAATTTACGTGTAAAATCATGTCCACATTTACAGTTGTAGGTTCAGTCTTTTGATATTAGCACAGCATAAAAAGCAAGTTTTTGTGTTTTGGTAGCATACACTAACTTATAAAACATGCACACACACACACACACACACACCACACACACACACATTTCCTACCATGATATGCTTTATTGCTTATAACCATGGAATAAATTATTTGACTACCAAGCCAAATATTTGCACGTGCATTCAGGTGTCGCCTCCTAACTGTATTAAAGAGCACTAGCTAGATGCACACCATACTGCCATCTCAACCTTAGCGAACAAGAGCACAGGCAAACACTTTGCTCAATTAACTCCGCTCAGAGACTAAGGAAATGCAGCGGGTAGGCCAGGGAGAGAGTATTTCAACTTTAATTATTAGCTTAAGTTCACAGCAAGAGCTACTTCATTTACACAAAACTGGAAAATGTAGAAAAGTATGGCCTTTTTAGAGACAATAGTTAGGACATGAATGAGTCTCCTTAAGTAAACGTCGTAATGCAAGTATGCAAGCTGCATTAAGAATCAATATAGGGGACCAGCAGTTAGCATAATGGCTATGTTGCTGGATTCCCACATAGTCGACCACGGTTCAAGTCACGGAGCCGGCAGCTTGAACTCACGCTGGGCGCGTGTGCGTGCGTGCCCAAGATCCCGAGAGGAGAATGGAGCAGAAGGGATTGCAGCGTGGCCATCCCCCCTGGGGGGTGATTTCTCGCTTTCTATGTCTCTGTCTCTCTCTGTTTCTCTGGTGAGCGCACATGCCCTATATAGCAAAAACCTCTCCAAAAAAAAAAAAAGAGACAATATAGTGTTCCATATGCTTGAAAAGCAATGTGGACATGAGAATCGGCAGGTAATTTTTATGGGAAAATTTGACATTTGGAAACACAATAAACTGGATAGTGGTCTTATGACTTTAATCATCTGGATGAAACAATGAGCTAATTATCTATAATGACTCTGCTAGACTTTCAACACCTTTAGGGATCAATTTCACCCAAAAGTGAACAGAGCCCAGATCACATGGTCTGCTCTTAAGCAGTGACCTCTCTGATTCAAATGCAAAATGCAATTGCAGATGAAATTCACTGGGACAAAATGCTCAATAGAAAGATTACATTGCCAGTGGGGCAGAAAGATATTTGCCAGCATCTCATTAAGGCTTAGATACAAAATCTCGGATTTCAATCAGCATTGAGATAGCATGGCAATAATCCAGTATCAAGAATGTAGCTAGGGCTTTGTTTCCTGTAGCATTATGCATTTTTCCCTGTCTACAATAAAACCTGGAAAAAATTTCCAAGAGAATAGATATGGAAAGAAATAACCTTGTAGTCATTTTAATGTCAGCCACACAACGCAATCTGTGAAGCCTGTGCAGCCTGATAACTTTGCCTCTCGCCCAGAGAGGAGAAGGTGACATCATTTACATTTAGCCCAACACGTGAAAAAGGCTGAAATTCTCTGTGCTGTGAATGTAGCATCAATTCTTCCACCTCTACAGCTCCACCTCCCATCATTAATACAGTCCAGCCATTTTATCGCCAGCATTTTATCCTCTTCCACTAGAAGTAATTTACTGGCTTAATGGAAATGTGAGAGATTTGCTTTAACAGATTTTATGAATTTAAGCAAAAGGTCCCACGAAACATTTCCCTCTGGAGAGAGGTTATTCTTTGGCCAGGAGGCATTTGTAATAGTTCAGTAATCAAAAAAGATTTGCTCTGGACTTCTAATTTGCTCAGTCTCTTAAGTAACAAAAGGGTCTAAAACTCTGCCTCTCAATTTAAAGTGAGACTCATAAAAGGTTGCAGTTTAGCGGGGAATCTAAGAATCCACAATCAGAGCTTTTAACCCCATTTCAATTTGTGCAAGTGTAATATCATTAGGGACTGATTTCTATTGCTGGGGAGTTGTGACTTTTCATGGAATTTAGTTCTTTATATAAGAGGTGGCAGGGTGGGGGAACTTTGAGAAAAGGGCAAACTACTGCAGAAATAAAGCTTGTTTTTTTTCTTTTTTCTTTTTTTTTTTTTCCTGAAGATTCAGCATCTGGGAACATTACAAATTTCACAAGAAAATCACTTTCCTGTGAAATTTTGGTCAAATGCTGCCGAGTAGAACTCTGGATTGGGTTTTGATGAGGGAATAGAACATTCTACCATACTCTTCTTCTTTTTTTTAAGAATGATTTTATTTAACTTTATTTATTTATTTTAATTTGACCAGAGTGTGAGAGAGAATGAGAGAGGAAAAGTGAAAAAGCAAGCAAGCCACCAGGTCGGGGACTCAAGCTGCGGTCAACCATGTGGGAGTCCAGCACCCTTAACCACCATGCCACCTGCAGGCCCCAACTGTACTTTTTTTTTTGGAGGGGTTTTTGCTATAGGGTGCGTGTGCTCGCCAGACAGAGAGAGAGACAGAGAGACAGAAAGCAAGAAATCACCCCCCAGGGGGGATGGTCACGCCGCAATCCCTTCTCCTCCATTCTCCTCTCGGGATCTTGGGCATGCACGCACACGTGCCCAGCGTGAGTTTTAAGCCACCAGGTCTGGGACGCGAACCGTGGTCGACTACATGGGAGTCCAGTGACATAGCCATTACGCTAATTGCTGGTCCCCCCACTCTACTCTTCTTAATTTGCGTGTTTGCATCTGAAAAAGATTAGGTAGAATTATGTCACTGTATCCACAGCTGTGTCCCCAACATCTAGATCCGTGCCAGGCACTAAGATGCTCAATAAATATGGGTGGAATGAATTGCTGTGTTCTATTCTAGAACCACTGTTGTTCCACTATGGGGAGAGGCTGCTGCTTTCCTCAGGTCATGTCAACAAGCAGTCATTCTTTGACCAGCTTTTTTGCACTAGATGCTCTAGCACCTCCTTCTTCCAGACCACTTCCTGGAACCAACTAATCAAACTGCAGAACTTTATTTCATGGGAAAATGTATGAAGAGAATTAGGGCCTCTTAACCTAGACATTAAGTAGGAGAAACATAACCTGTGAATCTATCGTCTTGCCCCACCATCTTGGCACTGTGAAAGAAATCTACACAATGGAAAACCTGAGATAACCGTATTTGCTGGAACTTCTGGAACAGTTCTAATTTGAAATATCTTGTCTTACTGCTTCTTAAAGATTGTGTAACTTTGTGCTCATCACAGTTAGACTAGAAGGAGGGTGAATAAATGAGCAGGAAGGAGGCAAGAGGTTCTGCACACACTGAAGTGAACGGAATGATCTCCTCCGGGTATGTCATTCTGTGACTGATAAAAAAGCCAACAAGCATGGACACCCTCACACAGATTAGGTTAAAAAAAAAGTAACATCCAAAGTGGCAGGGCTACTCGTGATTGGTTCATAAATGGATGTGAAGAACGAATAGCTAAGAAAACACAACACATTCGGGGAACTGGGAATAGTTCCGTCTGACAGAAATAAAAGCCAGCTATTTCCTTTTAATACCAGCTTCATCTCTGTTTATTCTTCCTAAAACACCTTGCCACTCCTAGTACAGTTTTTCCTGATCACTTTGTACTGAAACCATCCAAGGATCTTTACATGTCTGCTGCAGATAGACATGTTCATTAATTAGCTAGATCATGTATATGTCTTTCAACTTAAAAACACTGTTATTTACATCTTTCAACTTTTTTTTTTTTTTTTTTTTTTTTTTTAGTTTTTGCTATAGAGTGTGCATACTTACATGAGAGAAAAAGACAGAGTGAGAGAGAGAGAAAGTGAGAAATCACCCCCTGGGGGGATGGCCACACTGCAGTTCCTTCTTTTCCAATCCCTTCTCCGTTTCCCTCTTGGGATTTTGGACATGCATGCACATGCACCTAGCATGATTTTCAAGCCACTGGGGATGGGACTTGAACCACAGTTCGCCATGTGGGAGTCCAGCACCTTGCCAAATGCTGGCCCCAAAGAAAGAACACTTAAAGAGAGTTTCCCTTTGTAAATAACTTTTTTTTTTTAGACAAACTCATTTATTTGACACGTTAAATATGCAAAGGAAGATATATGAATGGCATAAAAAGAATCACATTCTCATACTACTTGAACACACAGCTGTGGTCAAAATAATGAATTGTAGAATGGACCCCAGGATTTAATGCAAAAAATACCCTGTACAGAAAAGTTTCAGGCTTCTAACTTCACTGAGCCCAGTACTAAACGTGCTTCTTTATATTCTTCAGCTTCTTCCAAATCTTTTTCATTGTCTAATATCTGCTGAAGATCTGTATATGCAGCTTCCAATCTGCACTGGCAATCTGGGATCAACATCCGGGACTCTTGGAGGATCTCTGCCTGCTTTTGAATGGCATAATTTTCCCCATCTTCAGCTTTCATTTTTTCAATCTTTTCTTCTTGTTGTTTTGCTTCTTTTTCGTACATCGCTTTTTCTTTGACCAATCGCTTCACCACGCTGGTCTTGATCTTGATCTGCCTCACACGAGGATCAGCCAGTCCCTCTGTAAATAACTTCTGCATTTTTATTTTTTAATTTTTGAAATGAATATGGATAAATTCTTAAGAGTAATATTGGCAAAATAGGGTCCTGCTCCAAATCTCCCTGCTAATCACATTTGTACCTTTAGTTGTTTCTTCTAATATTGATCTCCTTATTCCTAAATAATGTTCTTAGTTTATTAGTATTTGATCTTTCCGTTTTAGTGGGGTTTTTTGTTTTTGTTTTTGTTTTTTTACTTGCTACTCTGGAAGATGAAAATTTGATTTTTACCCATATTTACCACCACTCCCAGCACACACCACTTCTTTTCATTTTCCTTTATAGTTACGGTACAGCGTAATTTTTATTTTACCTATATTCAGTGTTTATGTTATTACATTTTGTTAATATTATTCACAGCCAAGGTACATAATATACCAAAAATACATTTTTTTTCCTGGTACAATGTTTTGTTTTCTATGGCAATAATTGCTTATATTATCTTTCTTTTTTATTTTTTAAAGCATTACATATTTAATTTTATTTATTATTATTATTATTTTAAATTTTCTATGGAGCATGTGTGCTTACCAGAGAGAAAGAGAAAGTGAGAAAGTGAGCCGCCAGGTCAAGGCTCGACCCATGGTCGGCCATGTGGGAATCCAGCACCTTAACCATCACACCACCTGCTGGTCCCAATTTGCTCATATTTTCATATGCTTAATTTTCTGTGCTTCATCACCAAACTCTCTGAAGGAAGTGTAGATATCCTCCTGATATATTCAGACACACTAAGTAATACAGAAGTTCCATTTTAATCATTTTAGTGACATCCCTACTACATTGTCAGGCTTCCCTCTAGCTTGGTTGTGTCTAGACCTACTGTGGGCTAAGAACTTCCTTCTCCCTGACCTGTATGGTCTCCCCAGATTCTGTGTCTTCTTTCTCGCTTACTCCCTTGATTATGCAAAGCAATGTCATTAAAATTTCTTTTCTTTTTTTAAAAAATTATAAACTTGAATAAGTGATGCACTACTTGTGGTCTGTTTGAAATGTTTTAGCAATTTTAGTATTTTTTCTGACTTGAATTTTAAACAACTTGCATACTACCTAAAAGTCAAAGAACACCAGGGGACCAGCAGTTGGCATAATGGCTATGTCGCTGGACTCCCATGTAGTTGACTGCGGGCCGAGTCCTGGACCCACTGGCTTAAACTCGTGCCAGGCACATGTGCGTGTGTGCCCAAGATCTCAAGAGAAGATGGAGGAGAAGGGATTACGGTGTGGCCATCCCTCTGGGGCAGGGGCAGTGATTTCTCACTTTCTTTCTCTCTGTCTCACACCCTATAGGAAAAAAAAAAAACTCTCAAAAACAAAAACGGGACCAGCAGTTAGTGTAATGGCTATGTCTCTGGACTCCCATGTAGTTGACCGTGTTTCACGTCCCGGACCCAGTGGCTTAAAACACGCTGGGCATGTGTGTGTGTGTGCCCAAGATCCCAAGAGGAGAATGGAGGAGAAGGGATTACGGCGTGGCCGTCCCTCCTAGGGGGTGATTTCTTGCTTTCTATATCTCTGTCTCTCTCTGTCTGCTGGGAGTGCCCCCCCCCCATAGAAAAAACCCCTCCAAAAAAAAAAAAAAAAAAAAAAGAACAAACCCAAAAACAACACCAGAACTCGTCAGACTACCCTTCAAGAACTTTTACTTTACAGCCCAAGAATCAACCATAACACCTACTTAGACCTATTCTAATGACTGAGACACAGAGAAACATAGGACATACATGGATTATTATTATTATTATTATTATTATTTGAGTGGGCACAATGAAACCACAAGAGTCTTTACTTGTGGAAGTGGGAGGTAGAAGTCATTATCCAAATGCAACAACATGAAAAAGACTTGATGACCATCGCTGACTTTGAAGAGGGAAGGTTGCCATTAACCAAGGAATGTACGCAGTCTCTAGAAAACGGGAGAGACATTTCTCCCTAACAGCCCCTAGGGAGGAACACAGCCCTACTGACCTGATGTTTTAGCCCTGTGAGATTCATTTCAGATTTCTGAACTGCAGAACTGTAAGGTACCGTTTGTGTTGTTTTAAGTATATGGCAATAGGTTACAACAGCAATAAGAAACAAACACAAGGAGTAGGATGAAGACCCACACACGATGAGCAGCTTCATTGACTAGGAATAGTACAGGCCGCTCTAACTGGCCGAGCCTGGGTCACACGCTCATACTCTAACTGCAAAGGTTAGGAACCTGAGTTAAGTGGGTTTTGGAAAAGCTAGCTCCTACAAGGCTCATTTAGTAAGAACTCTTTCAACACCTTCTGATGCTAGGTAGCCAAAAAGTCCCACCCCTCTCTTCTTTCTGCTTGCCTTTTTAAGACTGGCCTCTTTACAACTCAGATCTCTGCAAACTATTAATAACTTCTCCAAGAGGCCTTTTCTCGAGCACTGTATCATCAGAGATCTTTGGTCTGTTATTATCTTCACTGGTTTGTTCCTTCGCAGCTGTATCACTGTGATCATTTATTTGACCTGAACAGTTCATGAGTAGAGCCCTCTTAGGAAATATTTGCTGAATGAGTGAATAAATGCACGAATACCTAGAGAGCATAGATCCTTCTTTTTTTAATGTTTGTTTGTTTGTTTGTTTGTTTTGGAGAGGTTTTTTTTTTTTTTTTTGGCTATAGGGCATGTCCATTCGTCAGACAGACAGAGACAGAAAGTGAGAAATCACCCCCCAGAGGGGATGGCCACACTGCAATCCCTTCTCCTCCATTCTCCTCTCAGGATCTTGGGCACGCACACACATGCGCCCGGCATGAGTTTTAAGCCACCGGGTCCAGGACTTGAACCGCGGTTGACTACATGGGAGTCCAGCGACACAGCCATTACGCTAACTGCTGGTCCCTAATGTTTTGTTCTCTGAGATAGTCAATAGAATTTATTAAAGAGAAATATTTACTAAAGCCATTGAAGAAAAGAGGGTGAATACAGAGGGGAATCCTGGTAGCCACAAGATCTTAGGGGCCCTCCCTCCTTCTCCAGGGGTTCCTGATGATCTGCTCCCCATGCTGGGGTCCTCCTGCCACATTCTTCCTCCTTGAGTGATCCAAGATCTGCCTCTTGCCAGAATGATGAACTCTGGTAATGCCCACCCACTTCAGGGTGCCCCCCACCCCCATCCCTGGGGCCAGTCCCCTGAGGTGTAGCACTGCCCTATGGCCAGCACAGGACTGTCACAGAACACCAGAAAACGTAGCAGGAAATACCTCACCAAGTAAAGGAAACAAAGTCACAGTAACAACAGGGGTGGAAGATCAAAGCATAGTCCCTAGGGAGCCTTACCCAGCCCTCCATCCATCCCTGTGACTGGTCCAGCTCCCCAAGGTCACAGGATGAGTATGGGCTGTGCCTTCATCCATCCTTCTGGCCATCTCCTGGAGCTGAGATCAGGGTCTCTGGGTAGGACTGCTCAGATAAGAACACACACATACTTCCCAAAAAAAAGCAAGGGTGGGCCTGAAAATCTATAGTGAAAAAGCAAAAGTTGAGAGCCTGACTTTGGACAGGCTTGAGGAGACCCTGGGTTCTCTCTGAAGTTCACAGCACGTGGCCAGCTGAGGTGGCTGACTGGGCAGGCCTGGACCTCCCCCCGGGAGATGCCACCGGCCTCAGAACTCTGCTCAGGAATGATAGCCAGCAGACAGGTGGCATTTGCTTGACACATGGGTCACTATGGGGCCTACAGAGATAAAGGTGGGCTCCCCAGAATGGGGAGCAGCCTCTCCCAGAGATGGTGAATGGGGAACCTTCCTTTTGGGAGACCCAGGCAGCCAGCTTGAGGTGGCCTCAACTCCCCAATGTGTTCCAGTCCAGGGCAGGTGACGGGCATCATTAGGTGCCCTCGTCTAAGCTGCAGCTGACCCTCGGGGTGCTTCCAGGCCAGCTGCCTGCAGGATTTGGAGTTGGCCTCGGGGTCGGCAGATGCTGTGGTTTGCCATGCCAGTCCTAGGGTCTCCTTTCCTGCTCCCGCCACGTCTCCAGCAGCCCTACACAAATGCAAATGGAACAAAACAACCCCCACCTTTTAGCTCTCCCCTCTTCTCCCTCTCCCCCCTCCGTGTTATCCTCATTTTCTTCCTCTTACTCATTATCCTATCCTTTCCATCCTCTCTTCCTCCTCCTCCTCATGAGCACCGTCATCTTCCTCCTGGGAATCACTGTCCTCCTCCATCTCTTCCTCTAATTCGCCTCCTCATCTTCCTCTTCCTCCTCCCCCTCATCATCACGGTCATCCTTCCCCTCCTCCTTCTCACCGTTATCACCATCATTCTCCTGGTCATTGTCCTCTTCCTCCTCTTCTTCCTCACCCAACAGACACTCAGCACTCCTGTCCAGGGAGTTCCTCAAAGTCTCTGGTCTCCTTGCCCCCTGCAGCCAGTGTAAGGGAGGAAAGAGCCTTTGGCTGGTGCTGGGATCTTAGGGCTACTGGATCTCCTGTACTCTCTTGTGCAGGAGTTCAAAGATGCCCCCTCCTGGGGTGCCCTAGAGCAGTGTGCCTGATCCTGAAGATAGGCCTGACCCTGCAGTCTTCCCTCCCGGCCATTTCCTCTCTGCCTCGCAGCTCTTCCTTGCCAGGACTGGCTTCTTCTGGCAGAGACGGCCTGGGGCAGGGTCCTCTAGGTCCTGAGCAGCCTGGGGGCTGATAGACAGCCTTAGTTCAGAGCCCACAGGGCAGGCATTTGGGGGTGGCCAAATGAGTGGGCTGAAGCCTAGACCAGAGCTGTCAGCTGCACCTTCTTCAGCCTCTGCTTTGTTGGGGTCCCCATCAAAAGCTCGGGGTTCCCATGTGCCAGGTGTAGCAGCTCCCCACTTGAAACTCTGGCTGCTCCTCCGGGCCTGGTACTCAGCTGTCACTAAGCTGCATGCAGTTTGGTCTTGGTTGGTGAACTGCATTCCCGCTGGTGGAGGATGAGGGGGTTCAGCCTCAGCCCAATTGCTCTGCCCATTGGCCCCCTTCAAGTCT